TACTTTTATCCATAGTTAAGAAAACATATGTAACAATTGAAGTTCACATGTTTGATATGTGAATACATAATAATTAAATGGTGTGGAATATTGACCAAAATCTTTTCACAGCTTCACATTCCACAGTCTCAATTGCTATGTTTGTCGTATGTCCTTCACCCTCAAACTTCTGCGAAAATTTTGAAGACCGCACAAATACGTCACAGGTGATTCGATCGAACACACGAACTTCATCACATTAAGATGAAGAACAACAGGATGACCCAACGTATATTGTAAATCAAGTCATTCGTGGATAATACTTCAGTTGTAGGAGCTCATATTGATGAAGAAGATGTGATACTTTGCATCCTTAACGGTCTATCGCCGACCTATCAATTATTTAAAATTGTCATTTGCACTTAGTTGCATCCTAACAGCTTGGATGATCAATACTCACTGCTATACATTGAAGAGAATAATACTGCCATTGAAAATGCCAAGCACACCATGAAAAATGATTCACATTTAGCTCTAATGGCTTCCAGGATTGGAACAATTTCTACTCAAAGAGTAAAGGTTGTGCCAACGCATTAAACAATATAGCGAGAATGAAAAGTGCTATATTGACTCTTCGATCCACTATTGTATGTCAAATCTATCATAAAGTGGGTAACACTGCCACAATTTTTTGGCTTTGGACATCCACTGTTTATGGTCTTGATTTCACAATATGATGTCTCTTCCATTAATTATGCAACTAATAATGAACTTATTGTATAATGTATGCAGTATTGGATTTGACACATCATCATACAACAAGGAATATTATGATTAAAAAGTGAGCTATACCAGCTTGTCATCATTACAAAGAAATGAATAGAAGGGCTTGGCACATATATAAATACTCCCATTACAAATGGGTCATTGAGGATACACATAACTTATATGTTAAGATGTGTTATTGACTACAAAGCATTCTCTCTGCTAAGTTAGCTACACCTCTTAGAGGATTCTCTAATTTCTAGTCAATAGCATTCAATGTTTCATCAATGTTTGCGACTGCATTTAGTATACCTCCTGATCAAATTCTTTCGTTCGTCCTCATGCAAGACCCAAGTGCCAATAAACACTCAACTCTATATTAATCTATTGAGTGTAAATGCTATGCATATACACGATATTAGTTTTTTTTTTTTTTTAGTGTAAATGTTGTTCCATTGTTATCCTAAAACTTTCCTTTCTCCCTTTTTCTCTCTCTTATTCCAACCTAGTGTGCGTCCAATAACAAATTAAAGATTCAAAATTGTTATTCCGTATACCGCAAGACACACTCAATTTTTAACTGCCACAAATATATTATTTATGAATCATATATGATTGACATTCTCTTATGAGCAATGCACGTATTTTTCTAATTTAGAGATTTGGAGAGTTAGGGTTCTATTAATAAACTATAATAAATATTGAATGCTACTCATGAGGTTGACTATATTCCTCAGTACTATACAAACATATTATTTGGGAATAATGTACAACAAACGCCATTTTGGGCATCACACATACATGTGATTGTTTGGCTTCCTTATACTCATGACACCTACAAAGCATCCATACATAAATTATAATAAAACTAATATTAGTTCATAAATTATAATTACAATACTATTTTTTGTACAGTGAGAGCAGACATTTCATTTGTTCTCAGCGAACTTGAGGATGTTAGAAGTTTAGTTTTGTCTGAAGCTTTTTATTTTCTTTTGATAAATTTGATTAAGTTTTTGATGTCGAGCAGATTTACATACATACACTACTATTCTATTGTATTTATATATCTAACATCTAAACTTTCAAATTTATGTTTATCACATTTTAATGTCATAAAATATATACATAAAAATGTGTATTCACTTTTAAAAAATCATAGTGTTGGATGTTATATATGTACATATAAATATCAATTAATTTGTGTAGGAGCTCGACTCGTAAATACATAAGCATTGTGAGGTATATATGTAAAAACCCATCTTTTCTAATAGGTTATAAGGATCAATTAGTTTGACTTAATTGGTCATTATTGTGTTACCATACTCCTAAAAATGGTGGACATAGCTTGATTTCTTCTTCCAAAAGAATTTTTTATCACAATAATAAAAAAAAAAAACCAAAAATACCATTTATAATCAAATGAAAATAAAAAATTAATTAATAAATGAGATTATTTTATAATATTTATATAATATTTCAAAACATTTTCTTGCAGTCTCATAAATATTTTAATGCATAAAAATACAAAACATTTTGACTTTGAATGTTTTTAAAATTTGTTTATATCTTCCATTTATTTTGTGGCTTGAAAATTCATTAAGATAATTAATTAATAAATAAAATAAGTAAAGATAACATAATCTTGCATATTTAGGGAACTATGAACATTTGTAGTTTTCATAAAATCAGGCTAATTTATTGGCACAAATTTATTTGTCAATCTATATTTTAAAAATTGAAAATTGCACTTGTTCTAGGTATTATGGACAAAGTATAGACCAAGCTTTTAAATTTTCAAAATTCCAACATGGCCTATTATTTTATTTAAAAAAACAAAATGCCATTTTTTTTTATCATTGTTATTTTATTAAACAATTTAAAATGGTTCCTAAGAATATATATATATACGAAAAAAAGAAACCGTCAGTCACTAAATTCAACTCAAGCAAAAAAATCTAAAAAATATTATCACATCGAATATAAGGAGTTTCTAAACAATCTCCATGAATAAGAATAAAAAGCTCATGAGATACTCGAACCGAGAATATGAAGTCTTGTTTCTTCAATCCACGCTTAGTAGCCCAATTTGCACGTTGGTTTCCTTCGCGATATGTAAATAGTCAATCAACCTGCACAAACTTAAGGAGAACAGATATTTTTTTCATTTGAATAATAAGAATCCAAGGATACGATTTCTTCTTATATAATTCCATTTTTTTTCAATGTATTTAAGACTTGAGAATGTGATAGAAAAGAAAATATGGGTTGGGTTTTAATATTGAAATTTAGATATTTTAGTAAGAATTTATAAAATGGATGAAAGAGGGAGATATATTTGTAAATAGCATTGTTTTGAAGTTTCATGAAATTTGATATTTGAGTGAAATTTTGTAAAATGTAAAATAGAGTTTGTTAGATTTGTAAATAGCAATGTTTGGAATGCTATTTCTCATTTTTAGTGAAAATTAGTTTTAATGAAATTAAATGACATAAATTTTATCATTTAATATATTTTTCATATTTGTCTAAAATAATATTTTTTGATTATTTTTTATCTAAAATAAAATAAAAATTCATGACATTTGTTGAAAAAAAAAAAATAAAAAAAAAAAAATAAAAAAAAAAATTTATTGAATGAAAAATAGGACTTTTCGTCCGTCCGTTTAGTGTCAGTTTTTGTCCATATAATTTGGATTAATCAAATTAAAATATTCAGTCATTGTCAGAACAGTTAGCAATTCCACAAATTAGGGGTTGTTAAATTAATTATTTCCATTTTTTTTCTGTCATTTTTATATAAATTTATATTATTAGCTGTTTTATTTACTGTTATGAAAAAAAATATATATTAAATGATGTTTAGGGTCTTATTTTGTGGGTATTTGAATATCAATCAAATTAGATGGCATTTAAATATTTAAAAAAGAATTTTAAAAAAAATAAGTCTTTTAAGAACTGTGGAGGTAGTGACCCAGAGGGTCGTTGTGCCTAATGAGGATTCTTCATAAAGAAAAATTGGAGTCCCCCCATTGCATATTCTAGAGACGTGAAGAAAAGCTGGAGTACCTCTGACGCGCATTACAAAGGAGATTCTTCATCAAAAAAACTTAAGAGTCTCCCTTACACGCACTTCAATGGAGATTCTTCACGTTACTAAGATGTTGATATTTGGATAATCTCATACCCCTGAAAATCAATGAAAGTACTTGAAATTTTTGGAGGTGAAATCAACGCCATTTGAATATGAGCGGGCTTGTGAAGGTCAACCACATCTACGAGCAAAATAAAGATAACTCGTCGATGAGAGGGCAAAGACTTTGCAGGCTTTTCAAGCGAGGATATTGGTTTTTGAAGAAGAGAGCATGAAGTTGTTTTCCCTCCGATGATGAATAAAATATTGCAATGGATCGGTGTCTTTTCTTTTGCCGACTTGCTATAGCATTTGGGCCATCTTGTGTTAAACGTTGCTATTTTCAATAGTTTGATATAACATTTGCACATGATGATAATATGTTTGTCTGCAACGTCTTTCTTTTGCTTGATGAAATAAAAATTTTGACGTTGCTTCTGATGTTGTCGTTGTATTTCTTATTGAGATGTGGCTGTCCCTCTCTAGGATGCTTTTACCACATTATAGACTGCTGTTACCCAGCTTCACGGCTGCTGTTGGCCTACTTCTAGAGTGTTGTTGATGCCTTTGTTTATGTAAGAGAAACATAGTTGTAACAAACTCTTCTCAGTCTCGTGCCTTATGAGGTTTGTGAGTAGAGCTATGTCTGCTGTTAAAAATGTTTGAATTTTTTCTAAGTTGTTTAGTCAGAGTACATTCGCTCGACGACCACAAACAGTGGTGGAATAAATCAATTGTAATTCGCGATTGATGTAAGACATCATAGGTTGTATAGTCGAAGAAGCTTAATGACATTAAGATGTTCCGAACAAAGTCGAAAATAAAATCCATAATGAATGTAAAACCTGTCATAAGTTGTAAAGCTAAAGATACTCTACAACGTTAACTTCTATCGAAAATTTGAAAGATAATAAGAAAAAGATCTATTAAGGTTGTAAGACCCGTCTTAAGTTCTATAACTGAAGCATCTGCTCGACGATATTAACTTGGGATGGACAAAGCCATAGAAAAACAACTAGAGTGTTATACCTTATAAGTGTAAAATAAAAAAATTGAGGGTCTGATATGTAAATACAAAATGATTGTGGAGTACGTATGTAAATCTTACAATTCTAAATCTCTTCGCTTCTTCCCCCTTCTTCTTCTCAGTTTAGACCGATCACTAGGTTCACCGACGAGCAGAAGCGCCGCCGCCGCCGTGATCAGATCAAAGGAACATCTCAAATCGCAATACTTAGGCATAGAACTCTCCGATGATGCTGCATCTCCGGAGAATCTCGCCCATTGGTCGCCGGAACGCTAGTCTTTGGGACGGGGTTAGGGCTTTCTCGTCGACCGACCAGTCTTCCATCAAGAGCTCCGTCAGTTCGGCCCTCGATTTGCTCTCTCTGAAACCAGGTATTATTTATTGGCTTCATTTTTTGTTCTGGGTAGAATCTGTTGTTTTTTGTTAATTGAATAGATCATGTTGTGCCAGTTTTGATTGTATGTTTGAAAAACGTTATAAAACTGACGAACGTAGAAGCAAGTGGTAGAATGATTTTCAACAATAGTTATTCGAACACCTATATAGCGTCAGAAAAAGATAAATGTTACAAAGGAGGATTTCTGTGATATTTCCAAACTCGAAGGTAGTGTATCAAGCTCATTATTGCTCCCAGCTATAGGTATGCTGGGATCCAACAAGGAAAAGAAAGAGAGATGTTGGCTTTCCTAGCAGGCTAGTACTGAGTACATGTAATATAGATACATGTTTTTCGTTTAATGCTCCTCAAATCAGAGTGTCATCAACTGTATACTTACTGAGGTTTGACTGAAAATGAGGACTCATATTGGCTTTGTGAATATATCAAAAATATTTTTTTCTTGGGGCATGTATATACGTTGAACACAATTCTTATGATTTTACATGTCTCACACCTTAACTTTCATATTTGCATGTTGAATTCCACATATAAAATAGCAATATTAACACTTTTCGAAAGTGAAATACACATTTTCATGCATAGGTTTATTTCACCAAAGCGGCATGTAAGTATGAAAGTTTATGTGTGAGATATGTAAATACATAAGAATTGTATGTTGCGTATGTAAATTCCCCTCTTTTCTTTCTTGTTTGTAATGCATGATGTCTCCATCTCCCATTTTGGATTCTTCCATGTATCGCGTGACAACCCAATTCAATTCATTTTGTCAGTACATGGTTTGTAGGATCGGCAACAATATGTTTGGTTGCTTGATTGTCACATAATAACTTTACAGGTTTCTAGCACTCAATAAGCAATTCTCATAAAAAGTACCTCAATCACATGAACTCACAGGCGGCAGCCACCATTGATCATTATTTAACTTTGGCTGAGGATCCTGACAACATTGCTTGGTTTTTTATTTTCTATAAGATAAAAGCATGTTTCTTGAGAAAATGCAATACTTTGTCACGTATCATTGAGTAGTCAAACCTTCAACTCAATCTACATTCCATCAAATAGTTAGTTTAAACCATCCTTGTGTAGGGAGGAGCAAGCATTGACATGGAGCTTTGTTTGGATACAAAATAGGGCAATGTATAATTTTAAGATGGGAATGTAGGATCTACCTGGCGGTTATGTAAATTAACTTATTTTAGCAATGCAAGTGTGATTTATGGCCTTATTATTGTGAGGTAAATTAATTTTTCAACTATCATCTGATAATGAGTTGAATTATTAAGATACCCATCTGTGGCGTATAACTCGAGACTTTGTTGCATTGGGACTTTTGTCGATTTTGGACCAAGCAAGCCTATTTATTTTATTATGTCTATGTAATATTTCTTTAAACAGACTGAAGTTTCTGCTTTAGGTCATGCATATTCAACTCCAAAAAAGAAGTCCTAGATCTTTGATTCAAATATGATTGTTAAGAAACTTCTGGAAATTAAATTTATGAGATAAAAAGCCATTTGTATGCTTTCTCCCTAAAATTTTTGTGATGCATGTGATTGAAATCAAAGTGTACGACCCACATTTAAGCTTTTACGATGTTTTCACTTTACCAAACTGTTAATTATTGTAATATTGTTGAAAAATAGTTCTATGATCATTAAGAAATGAGATATTTGATGTAAAAATAGTTCTATGATCATTAAGAAATGAGATATTTGATGTTAATTTTCTCTCCATATTAGGTTAAATAACTTAATTTTTACGTTGATTTGCATTTGATCCATAAAAATAATCTTTCAAAGAGACTGTTTCAGATTTATAACTCATAATATGAATACACAAAAATCGAGAAACATCATTCGCAATGGCCAAAAAATATTTTGGCCAAACTGGAAATTAAATTTATCAGGCCCCCTAATATCAAGGTTCAATTAATTTTGTGTGCAAGATGTGGATTTTGGCTAGGTCTAAAAAAATAGTCTATTGTTATTTGCTTGCCCATTCTTATTGTCTTTTGCATAAGTATGTCCTACAACACAAAAATTGTGATAAAACGTTCAATTACATGTCAATAAATGGTAAATTTGCTAATTTATGATAATTTAACTTTAAAGGTTGGCACATACAACATCCCATGAAGAATCAAATCGAATAATATTTTGATACCCAGGGGAGTTAATTTATACCATTGGGCAACTGAACAAAATCGCAATAACTTTATGATATATTCTGTTAGTGTGAATTTGGACATTTAATCTATTTAACTGCTATCCAAAATAACGTTGATAATGGTGTGTGTTCCACCAGGAATTGCATGATCCTTTATTTTTCTTCTCATTCAATGATGATCCTTTTTTAGTTCTCTATAACTGCAGCAAATTGGCTTGTTATTTGAGGCAAATTCATCTTCAAGAGGCTTTATCTTGGTGTAGTAGACAAACACAAATTGGCTTTCCTTGTTCGAGTTTGATAAATTCTTGTCAAATTTGATAAATTTTGGAAATTTTCTTTTGAAAATATCTCTAAATGCCTAAAGCTTGCTGAATGAGTAAATTATAATCTTCTCGAGGCAGTAACAAATCCAGAAAAGGAAGCACCGAAAGTAATAAACATGGTTGAACTATTATGGAAGCATGTTATGCTATTGTGGGATAATGGAAATTTTCCTAGAACATTTAAGAGGATGTTTGGTTTGGTTGCAATGAGGGTGGATTGAAAATACATTATGATTATGACCACAACCATCATGTATCTGACCACCAATTCCATGACCTTTGCAACCAATCCTAAAGCCGACGACCAAGATTGACTCATCATGACTCAAAGATCGAGAAGTTGAGAGCTTACTAATGTGAAAAACCTACGAGATAGCAATCATAATGTTAGGAACCATGAGTCTAGCATTAATTGAGATTGCACAGTTTACAGAGAAGTATGAAAGCCATAGATAAATTTGATGATAAGAAATTCTTTGTTTGTTTGGGCTAAGTAATTCAATTAGGTACTAATGTATCTCATTTAATTTTTCTGTGTGTGTGCTATATGGTCTTTCTAGATGCGCATATCATTTGCTGAATAAAGATATCAAAATAAAGAGTGTAAACACAATGTATATTATTTTTCATATTAATGATAGGATGTGGGGATTTAGCTTGTGAGGTGAGGCTTGGATAGGTTGGTGTGGCTATTAGCACGATATGTGCATATGATCTTGGCTAGAAAAAGAGGATGTAGGCATGCAGGAGTTGATATTTTTCAAAATTAACAAATTTTATTGCAATTAGCTTATCTCATGTCAAATCTGGTTCAGCTTTAGATTTTCAATTTATCTCCTTTGAACAATTTATCTTGATGATTGACAAAAACTTGCTTTTCAAGTTCCACCATCTATTATGGCATAATTGTTTGCATTTTGAGCGTGTAAATGTAGGCTGAATTCATTTTTTATATTTCTGGAGTTGTGATTCATTCTGTTATATAAAGGTTTGAAGCTTAAATGTATACTAACTTCATTATTCAGTCTAGAGTTGTGTGTAAACTTCAAATTTTTTAATAGCCTTTCCTGAACAGTTTTTCTCGAGGAGCAACACTAAGACATATACCAAAGGCATAATTGCTTGCATTGCAGGCATGTATGTTGGCTAAGTTCATCGTTACAGTCTAGAGCTGTGATGTATTTATTCTCTTGTACTAAGACATGAAGCATATTTGAATAGTTTCTCATATTATGATATGGTAATGGATGGAGAACTGGATTAGATTTCAAGTTTTATTTATTTATTTATTTGTACCAATGGAACCTTAAACAGTCTGAACTTTGAGTCAGATTTTAATTCTTAATTTTTAGAATAAATGTCAAATTTCTAATAAATTAATTGATGCAGGACATCTTTTGGTCTACAGTTTTTTAATGTATTTGCATGATGAGATGTTCAAATCACACAATTCTTCAAATTTGCAATTCACAAATCTTTAATTATGACTACTTATGTTATAGATTAAAGCCAAATATACAAAATTTTGATGCAAATGATAATTCAACTTCATGGAAATTTTGAAAAAAAATAGACATTGGGTTACTAATCATATTTTAGTAAAAAATGAGATTGTGTTAAATTTGACAGAATTTAATCACACAATTGAATGAATACTCCATTAGAGAATAAAAGCAAGACGGATAAGAGATCCCTAAATAGAAGAATCATGACTCACACCAATGAAGAAATCACTTCCTATGAAAATATTCAATGTGGTGCACCATGGAAAATGTTAGAAGTAATTGCCGCTAACTAGAAATTCATTCAATGAAAGTTAAAATCAAATGGAATTATAATATAAGACTTTGTAGACTTATATTTCTAATACAAAGTCGAATTATAATATAAGACTTTGTAGACTTATATTTCTGATACAAACCTTCAATTTATGATAAAAATTAGATCGATGGCCCAATATAAATCAAAAGAACCACGAAGATAGCATAACTGTTGCAGTTCAATGATTACAAGGATTTTGAATGGAATGAAATTGGACGCCCTTTAGAGTGAGTAGTGAATGATGGGAATTGAAAGTATTGTAATAAGAGTATACAAAGGGGCGTAAAAAATTGACCCGACATGCCAACTCGTCCTAAACTTGACTCAAAAAATTCGGATTTGGGTTGACCCAAATAATTTTTGGTTTGGTTCGGGTTATGAATCTCGATCTTTTAATTTTTCTGTTCAGGTTTTGATTGGCTCAATAACCGAAAATCAATCCGATACTGACCCCTAACCCAACATTGACTCATAATTGACCTGCCAATTCAAAATTGTCCAAAGATTGACGAAAAATCAACTTGAGTTTGACCCAAATAGTTTTGTCTTATGTTAAATTGATTATACGGGTTTGGTTCAAGTTAGCGGATTGAAGGCTTGTCGGGTTTTGTTTGGACTTTCTATATGTAAGTTTGTTTTACAAGGTATAAAATTCTTTTTGTGAAAAATCCTCCCAAATTCGGGAAAAATTTTGCAATTTCTATATGTAAGTTTGTTTTACAAGGTAATAAACTATAACATCTCTGAGGCGATATATTTGATTTGCCCGAAATATCGGGTGCCAATGGAAATTATTTTCTTCAGTTTGTATCTGCAGATCAATTCTTACGAATTTGTGATAGAATTTATTGTTATTGGTCTAAAACTTGGTTTGATGCTTTGGATACAACATAGCTGACAGCAACAAGGTGTTTTGCTGGCCTCTCATACTGATTCAGTGTATTTTTTTTTTTTTTTGGTATTTTAACCGACCCCATTGTATATTGCTCCACCAAGAAAATTAAAGAAAGACTGATTCAATGAGATTTGAAAGCTTTTCTACTTCTGAAAATCGCAACGTCATCATTATTTGAATTTTTTTTGCAATGATTGAAAGGTAGGACATTGATACACAACTGTGGAGATGGTGATGAGGGAAAAGCTGTAATACAATTGGCCAAGGAGCGAAAACTTCAGACTATTACAATAATTGAAGACAAACCGGGCAACCCTGAAACAATTGAAGAGTTGAAGGCCCTTGGTGGGGATATAGTTGTTCCTGAAAGTTACACAAAGACATGGTATGCTCTTTAATTGTCTGTTTGATTATAGCTTGATTTTGAGAACTTTATTGCATTCGGGCAGAACAAAACTATTTATTCTTTAGCTTTATTTGTATTTTTGGTCAAAATTTTCATTATATGGTACACTAGGTGCTAGGATCAAGTTTTGGTGAAGTTAAAACTAGGAGGAAAAGCCTTTGATGAAGAGACTAGAGCCACCTACAGTTTGAAGAGAAGAGATGACACCGTTGTAGGGTTCCTAGAAGGTTTTTAGGAAACGAATTTAGCGGGGAGGTGGCGTGGAATAGTAAGAGGAAGAAAATATGAGAGTTCAATGACATTTGAAAAGGTATAGGGAAAATTTGGCGTCTGTTCTGCTGCAAGACAGATGGTTCAATGGTGAAACAGTGAGATGCGGACAGTGAGGAGGATCCACCACCTGTTCATGAGTAAGATACAAACACACTTGTAAAAGGAAGATGATACGACACTCCATAGTGAAGAAAATAAAAAACAAAGTCTCCAAAACACAAAACAATGTCTAAACTCATTCAAATTCCTATGTATTTACATGCACACCAAATTCCTATGTATTTACATGCACATAAAATTTAACTTCTATCTTCATGCCACCCAAATCCCTCGTATCACATAAAAAATATCATTATTTTAACTTTTAAAAAGTGAAATACATATTTTCATGTATAGACAAGGTGGCATATATGTAAAAATTAAGGTTAAGGTGCTAGATATGTAAATACTTATCATTTAGTGGTAGGTATGTAAATCTTCCTTCTACTAATTATCACTGTATATAAAACAAAAAAGAGAGTATAACTTTGTGATTTTTGTGTTGAAGAAAGCATATTTGATTGTTAAACTTTCATATTTACATACATAGCGTTGTGATTTTTGTGTTGAAGAAAGCATATTTGATTGTGTCCTCTGAGATCTATACCTTAAACTTTCATATTTACATACATAGCGCTTTTTTATGTGATATTAAAAATTTGAGTGCTGTGTAAATATGAAAATTTAGGTGTGAGATGCATAAATACATTAACAATCGTGTTGTGTATGTAAACGCTCCCATGTTTTTTTTATAGGTATATGAAGAGGTTGGTGAATGAACTTACACCTGCAGCTGGTATAAATTTAGGCGAAGGTTATCAGGTGACGGCGGTCGGCAAAGCCGTGGCCGATGGCGGAACCTTCATTTCATTAGGTAAGAAACTCCCCACTCACGTTGTTTACGATGGCGAAAACCGTAAATCCATTCGATGGGACGAGTTTGCGAAGGGGAAGAAGCTCAAAATTGTCAACATGTAAAATGTCTTTCTACTTCTATTTTGCCTTGTTGAACTATTTTTTCTTTATTGCTGCTTCAGCTTGTGCTACTGTGTGAATAAGGGCAAAAATATGGAGGATAAGGTAAAGTTTGCGAACTGATTTCCATATTTACAAAAATGTATGAAGGGTGAATATGTAAACCATGTCTTATGCAATTTAATTGTTTTTGGTTGTGTTTTATCGTTTTCTGCAGTTGATCAATTATAACACGTTTATTATGACACCGACGTTTACTATGACACATAGGCTTACTACGGTGTCTTGTAAAATAGAGTCAGCACATCCTATGCTTGCTTACTATAACACGAGCAAAACAAAGTTAGTAAATAATAAGATGCAAATAAAAAGTGCAAAATATAAACGAAAATATTGAGACGGGCAATATAACCATTCCATTTAGCAATCAAAACAGTTAAAGGTGTAAGTTACAAAATTTACATTGATACCACACAGTTCTTATGTATTTGCATATCTTACACCTAAACTTTTGTTATTTACATACATAGCATAACACCAAAAACATACTTCTGCTAACTTTTTAAAAGGTGAAGTAATTTCCCTAGAAAATTAGCCTCATGAAAAATGATTCAGGACCTTACACTTTACAATAAAAACCAAATAAAAAATAAAAATTTGCACCTTGCAGCTCTTCTACTTGAAAAAATATTACCTCAGGAGTACTGATGCATCAGTTGCATCAGTACTCTAATGAGGAGGTGCCATGTGACATTATGGTGGGACTATTGCATATCCTCATTAGAGTACTGATGCAACTGATGCATCAGTACTCCTGAGGTAATATTTTTTCCTTCTACTTTCTCTTCATTCTTCACAATATCATCTTCATAAAGGTGTTGAGAAATATGTACATAGAATGATGGTCTCTCCATTTACTTCAACTTCTTTCCTGTTACAAGAACTGCTAACATCAGCCCATCAAGTTATCTTCCAAAGAGTAAATCATATCTTCAACTTATTCAATTTGAATAACATTTTAATTTAAAAAAAAATAATTATTTTTTTGAGCATTTACATGCACATCACTCGGTTCTTATGAATTTACATATCTAAGAACTAAATTTTGTTCTCGTATCTTTTAATATTACATGAAAAATATCGTCATTTTAACTTTTAAAAAATGAAAGACTCCTTTTCATGCATGGGCAAGGGCGTATGTATATAAAATTTGAAGTATAGGTGTTAGATATGCAAATACATAGGAATTGAGGGGCATGTATGTAAATCTTCTTTATTAAAAGGTGCAATTCAATACATAGGAATTGAGGGGCATGTATGTAAATCTTTCTTATTAAAAGGTACAACTATGTATTTGCATATCTAACACCTACCAACGTATGAAAAGGTGTGTTTCACTTTTTGAATAAAGTGGTAGTATTTTTTATATGATAAAAAGGATCTGGGCTTGGGCGGTATTAATGTAAAATGTCAATACAATTGAGTGGTAAGTATATAAATGCCCCCATTCCAGTAGTTCTTGCAGTGGGGCATTGGCAATGGGGTGTTTAGAGAAGATTGGGAGGATTCTTGGCCATGGCCATGGCTCTAATAAAATGTTAGGGGTGAAAGCTTAGGAAAATAAATCATCTTTATCCAATTATCAAACTAGTACAAACATATATATGCATTTATGAGAAAAAAATTAAAATAAAACAAAAAATATTATAATAAGGGTGATAATCTATAATAAAAAGTAAATACTATAATAATAAATAAAGCCATAATCATAAAAATAACTAATTTCATGTGATAATTTAGAAATGATAACATTTGGACCCATGATTTAAAGATCTACATAATAATAAGAGCTATAAATAAATAAGAAAACATATATGAAAAAAATAAAAATTAAGAAAATTTCAGTAAGCATACCATGGACGATGAATACAAACAATGCTTCCTACTTCAAGCTCCACATTGTTGCAGAATGTTGGACTAAAAATAATTGTTTTCTTCATGGTTTCCTCATATCCAAAACCTTCATATCCAAAACCTTCTGAAATCTGCTAAAAATAATTGTTTTCTTCATGGTTTCCTCATATCCAAAACCTTCTGAAATCTGAAAAAAAAAAACAAAAAATAAAATAAAAAATAGTGCAAGGGATACAATTTAAAGAAAAATCTAAAAAAAAGATAATCATTTGATTTCGAATACTATCAATTGACATAGGGCTTCATTATCCAGATGATGAATATAAATATCAGGATAAAAAAAGGGTATTTACATACATAGCAAACCAATTCTTATATATTTACATATCTAACACCTATACTTTACGTTTATACATTTAGACCACCTAAATCATTCGTATCACATAAAAAAATGCCACTTTTGAAACTTTTAAAAAGTGAGGTACATCTTTTCATGCATGGGTAAGGCGGCATATATGTAAAAGTTAAAGTTTAGGTATTAGATATGTAAATAGTTTACGTATTAGATATGTAAATGCATAAAATTGATGTGTAAATCTTCCCCAAACAAAACTAGACTAAACACAAAAAAAAAATCAAAATCAACATGAGTCAGAACACAAACTTTAGTGCTTTCACCAAACAAGCATCGGCAAACTTTCAGCTTTGCATCAAGAATTCTTGACAAAATCCTTACTCTTATTGTGTTTGATTCATCTGAAGACAAAAAAAAGTAAATAATTATTTTGTTTTCTAAAATATAATAGCGCATTTACATATATGTCACACAATTTTTATGTATTTACATGTCACAAGTAAAATTTCATATTTACAAACACCACTCAAATCTTTACCATCACATAAAAATAGCAATATCATTACTATTTAAAAGTGAAATACGCCTTTTCATGCATAGGTTTAAAACGCCAAAGTAATATGTATGTAAATATGAAAGTTTAGGTGTGAGATATGTAAAATTGTAAATACTTAAGAATTGTGTAATACATAAGCAAATTTCTCAAGAATAAAACATTAAACATGCATAATTAAATGTATGATTAAGATGCATAATTAGTTGCATTAAGGTTAATATCTCTGAAGCAACCATTATTACCACCAAGAAATGAAACAGTTTGCTTACTCGAAGGAGTCCTTCCAGGTTGCAGCCCCTTTAAATAATCCATATGTCCGTCTTTTTCAAGCTTTATTATATTTTGCAATCTTAACTGAAATCCAAATCTGTAAAACCGCACAGCAACTAAATAAAATATTAATAATTCGTAACACTGAAAAGAGGCACGATGCGTAACTTATTGTTTTTGGGAATTTCAGGTCTTTCGTCTGTAGATGTGTTAAAAGCTTCCTGAAACAGATCTGCCATCGTCTGTTCCTTAACAATTTGAGCTGCTCGATAGTGCTGATCGATATGCTGAGAAGAAAAAATATATAGAAAGATCTACATACATAAGGCTCAATATCTAACACCTAAACTTCGATTTTTACATACATGCTTCCTTATTTCGATGCATGAAAAAGTGTATTTCACTTTTTAAAAGTTAAAATAGCAGGCATTTGCGCTGTGTATGAAAGACTTGGGTGATATAAATGTAATTACATAGGAATTGGGTGGCATGTATGTAGATGCCCAAAAATATATATTATTTCAGCAGTTAACTCTGAAATGATTTTGAAGAGGTAAACTCTGTTTATTTAAAGAGTTAATGAAACTACCTCATCCTCACTTGAAATTTCACCTGTAAAATCAGGAGCATCTTTGTTGTGAAGAGCCCTGTTACCTAAATGCAACAATGATCTCTTGGAAGAAATCATTTGCCTTTCTTTTCCTTCAATATTGTCCACTGCCTGTAATAAAATTTATGTAAAACAGATGCGTATGTGATATAGCTAAAGAGAAAAGTACCCTGAGTTAGCTCAAAGTTGAAGACGAATATCTTAAATCAATTTAAGCATGCAAAGGCACAAGGGTTGACATTACATTAGGTACATCAGGATAAAAAGTTATCGTTGTATAGTAATACTAAGGGACCATTTGGGATTATTTTTATTTTCTATTTTCTATTTTTTTTATTTTGTTTTGCCTATATTGATTTGAAACAAAATATATTCGACATATTTGATTAAAATTTGATAGTCTTTAAAAACATTCTAAATAACTAAAAGTTGTCATGACTGATTTTAAAGACGTGTAAATTTTTTTTTTAAAACAAAAGATAAAAAAATATGAAAAATATACAAAAAAAAATGGTTTTAAAAACAAAATTAACAATAAAAAAATAAAATAAATTTGATCCCTATTTGGGAATTGGGATCACTTTTGATTTTCGTTCTCGATTTTTTATTTTGATCTAGTTATGTTTATGTTATTACTTGAAATAAAATATGTTTAGCGTGTTATAATATGTTTAGTTATTTTTCATATGAGGAAGAGAGCAGTTGAGGAAATTGGCGGCAGTAACTTTTGGGAATTTCAGGTCTTTCGTCTGTAGATGTGTTAAAAGCTTCCTGAAACAGATCTGCCATCGTCTGTTCCTTAACAATTTGAGCTGCTCGATAGTGCTGATCGATATGCTGAGAAGAAAAAATATATAGAAAGATCTACATACATAAGGCTCAATATCTAACACCTAAACTTCGATTTTTACATACATGCTTCCTTATTTCGATGCATGAAAAAGTGTATTTCACTTTTTAAAAGTTAAAATAGCAGGCATTTGCGCTGTGTATGAAAGACTTGGGTGATATAAATGTAATTACATAGGAATTGGGTGGCATGTATGTAGATGCCCAAAAATATATATTATTTCAGCAGTTAACTCTGAAATGATTTTGAAGAGGTAAACTCTGTTTATTTAAAGAGTTAATGAAACTACCTCATCCTCACTTGAAATTTCACCTGTAAAATCAGGAGCATCTTTGTTGTGAAGAGCCCTGTTACCTAAATGCAACAATGATCTCTTGGAAGAAATCATTTGCCTTTCTTTTCCTTCAATATTGTCCACTGCCTGTAATAAAATTTATGTAAAACAGATGCGTATGTGATATAGCTAAAGAGAAAAGTACCCTGAGTTAGCTCAAAGTTGAAGACGAATATCTTAAATCAATTTAAGCATGCAAAGGCACAAGGGTTGACATTACATTAGGTACATCAGGATAAAAAGTTATCGTTGTATAGTAATACTAAGGGACCATTTGGGATTATTTTTATTTTCTATTTTCTATTTTTTTTATTTTGTTTTGCCTATATTGATTTGAAACAAAATATATTTGACATATTTGATTAAAATTTGATAGTCTTTAAAAACATTCTAAATAACTAAAAGTTGTCATGAGTGATTTTAACGACATGTAAATTTATTTTTAAAAACAAAAGATAAAAAAATATGAAAAATATACTAAACAAACATGTTTTTAAAAACAAAACTAACAATAAAAAAATAAAATAAATTTGATCCCTATTTGGGAATTGGGATCACTTTTGATTTTCGTTCTCGATTTTTTATTTTGATCTAGTTATGTTTATGTTATTACTTGAAATAAAATATGTTTAGCGTGTTATAATATGTTTAGTTATTTTTCATATGAGGAAGAGAGCAGTTGAGGAAATTGGCGGCAGTAACTTTAGTCTCACATCAAATGGTAAAAGTGTACATTGGTATAGAAATTCTAAACACTAGACCTTCCCTCATAAGCTTAACTTGTTATGTTAAAAATGAGCTTAACCACTAGTGCTAATCAATTATCCTTTTGATCTATATTCTAAGGCCAAAAAACTCTGTAAAGTAGTCCACTAAGACAAGGAAATTACAAAGTCTTAAAATTTTACCTATATTGCTTCCATATAGAATTCCTCGCTCATATTTCCAAATAAAGTGTCACGACTTGGCACGATAACTTAGAATTCACCCAGTCAGGAACTGCGATCAGACGGTATTAATATTTAATTTACTTTCCACAAACTTTTATAACTTCTAATATATATAAAAAAGTTGCCAATAAAACACACAATATGCTGCATAGAAATCAAAACATCTAGAAATAACAATATATTCAGCAAATAAAATATCTCAATTCACACACAATAGTATCTCCACACAAATAAGCAATACAACAATAAAAATTACAATCATAATACCTATTAACAGTAGTCATACTCCTGTAAATTAAATCTCTTATGTCAGACTATCAAACTATAATTTTTCTTTTCCTAAAATAAATAATTAAATTAAACATTTAATTGTCATTACTTAATGAGTAATTATAATCTTAATATGAATTAATTCATATGCAAATCTGTTGAAATTTAGAATAATGTTGAATAAAGTGGAATATTTGATATTCCTTTCATTGATATGAACAAAGGTATAGATAACCCTTACAAGAATCTTATAATAAGAAAAATAATAAAAAAAGAAATGATATGAAAGGAAAGATATATCACTTGACATCTCCTATAATTAATTCATATTAATTATTAGGAAATACTAGGAAATAACATAAAATAGGAAAACAAATAATTCCTAATTCAAGGAGATAAATATAAAATAGGAAAGTAAATATCTCCTTAATCTAAGGAAATAATTTATTCTCAAAACTTATTATAGGAATAAATTATTTTCTATTAAGTTTTAACAGGAAAGACAATAAATCCTGTAATTTAAATTAAATATTTCAACACCCCCCCTCAAGTTGAAACATGTTTATAAACCACATTCTACTTGAATTTGAAAACATCAACTGATGTGCGAGGAATATTCTGTGAAGTAAAACTTGAAATCTTTATTCTGTATTGTTGTTGTCTTTGGCTTTAGTTACTACAGTGTCTATAGGTAGACGGAAAACTCCACTCTTGGAGATGGCGGTGGCAGCAAGCTTCTAGACGGATCTAAAAAGTTAGGAGTGCGATACAGATGGTTCCTCCACATCATCGGTTGCGATATGCTGACTGGAGGAGTCTCTGATCGCAATCTAGCCTGCAAGGCATTAGCCGCATTGGTAGGCGGAGATGGAGTTGGAGATTCCTTGAGAACGGAAGCGAGAGCCATTAAAATGGAAAAACTGATGTTACCCTTCCTATGACCAGATTAGGAACTCCTGCTGCCGAGATACCAATGTCAACTTTTCGAGTGATTCCTTCTAGGTTCTTTGGGTGAACATGTTTTTCCATTGATAATTGTTGGATTAAGTTTACCATCCCCCCTCAAATTGATGCTGTCAATTTGCCAACAAGAAATTCTGTCGGTTCCAATAATCCTCAACCCGTAAGCGTCGAATCCGAAAGTCCCGAAACCGAGAATGTCGAACCCTCAGAGACACCTCTGAACCATAACATGATTTGAGCAAAGAAAAACAAGAAATCATTTATCCTTGTCGTCAGAAATTTGAATCATAGCCACAAGAATGATCCGCTTCAAGTTACAAGATCCAAATGCTACTGATCATAGCCCACAAATAGGAACCAGTTACACGATCCAAATGTTATCAATCATAACATACAAATAAGATCCGTGTCCTGCTCCAAAAGCTACCATCATAGCCCATAAATAGGATCCAGATGCTATCGACCATAGCATATAAATAGGATCCGTGTCCTGTTCCAAATGCTATTGATTCTTCCTGCGACGACGAGGACGATCTAGGAAGGAGTTGAAAACTCGCAAGTAGTCAGAGGAAGACTTGATGGAAGTGTCGAATCCGAAAGTCCCGAAACCGAGAATGTCGAACCCTCAGAGACACCTCTGAACCATAACATGATTTGAGCAAAGAAAAACAAGAAATTATTTATTATTGTCGTCAGAAATTTGAATCATAGCCACAAGAATGATCCGCTTCAAGTTACAAGATCCAAATGCTACTGACCATAGCCCACAAATAGGAACCAGTTACACGATCCAAATGTTATCAATCATAGCATACAAATAAGATCCGTGTCCTGCTCCAAAAGCTACCATCATAGCCCATAAATAGGATCCAGATGCTATCGACCATAGCATATAAATAGGATCCGTGTCCTATAAACGATCTAAATGCTATTGATTCTTCCTGCGACGAAGAGGACGATCTGAGAAGGAGTTGGCAAGAAGTATTAGGAGGAAGACTTGATGGAAGCAGTTGAAGGTGGAAGGTAACACGACGATCGAGGCGCCAACCTCAAAGATATCTCCAGCAATCGTGACTGTGGTTGTCCGCCCACCGACGATACCAAACAAATCCAATTGCATTCAATCTCTGCAACAAAACATGCTTGCCAAGCCAACCTAGAAGCATTTTCGGTGAACAATTGAAGAACCAGATTCACATACTCGGCCTTCGAAATCCACATCTGTTGGAAGGTGCTGAGAGAAGCAAGGATGGAGCCTCCAATCCAAATACTGTATTTCCTCTCGGGGGGCGCAACCACCTTAATCTTCATGCTGCTTGGGGAAAGCGCTGTGATTTCCTTGCTCATCCGATCAGCAATCCCTGGAAAAATGGAGTTATCTAAGCACAATATTACCATACAAATCCTTCCTGATGTCCACATCGCACTTCATAATGGAGTTATATGTCGTCTCATGAATGTCGGCCGACTCCATTCCAATCATGGATGGCTGGAAGAGGACCTCAGGGCATCTGAAATGCTTAACTCCTATGGTGATCACCAGTCCATTAGGAAGCTCATAAAATTTTTCGACAGAAGAGCTATTCTTCGCAGTCTTTAGCTCTTGTTCGTAATCCAGTGCAACATAAGCGAGTTTCTCCTTCATAGCCCTCACAATTTCTCGTTCGGCGGTAGTGGTGAATGAGTAGCCTCTCTCGGTGAGAATCTTCATCAGAGCATCGATAAGGTCACGACAGACGAGATCCAAATGGAGGATGGCATGAGGAAGGGAATATCCTTCATGTATTGGTATGGTGTGACTAATGTCATCACCAGAATCAAGCACAATGCCCGTTCTTCCTCCTAGGGTTTGTTTCTGATGAAGGCGTTGCTAAAGTTTCAGGAGGACCAGCGACCCCTTGCCCGGACGAAGATTCCCATCAGCATCCAGTTTCGTTAAGGTGAACTTGCCTGCCGCACACGGAGAAATATGAACCGGATCCGCTGCCGGCAGAAGAAGATGCAATGATGCGATTGTACTCGTCGATCATGTAAAGATGCAATGATTCAAGGTCTTTATTAGGAAGTTGTTACTTGAGGGTGAAGTTCTGACCACCAAGAAGATGCCGGGAGAGAAGAAGAGTGCCCCTCCCTTCCTGCACAAAGGATTGCAGGAAGGGAGTCCGACAATTTTGAAAAGAAGACCGGTGGCTAAAATACGAATTTAAGCTCTGATACTATGTTGAAATTTAGAATAATGCGGAATAAAGTTGAATACTTGATATTCCTTTCATTGATATGAACGGGGGTATAAATAATCCTTACAAGAATCCTATAATAGGAAAAATAATAATAAAAAAGTGATATGAAAGGAAATATATATCACCTGATATCTCCTATAATTAATTCATATTAATTATTAGGAGATACTAGGAAATAACATAAAATATGAAAACAAATAATTCCTAATTCAAGGAGATAAATATAAAATATGAAATAAATATCTCCTTAATTTAAGGAAATAATTTATTCTCAAAACTTATTATAGGAATAAATTATTTCCTATTATAAGTTTTAACAGGAAAGACAATAAATCCAGTAATTTAAACTAGATATCTCAACATATGTATAAATGACCAAAAGAAATCTTATTCATTACTTTATAAAACTGTCAAATTTTATTTTAAATTTATCTCTTACAATTTCAATTTAAGTATTTACACTTTTTAACCTCTTTAAGACTCTTTCAGGGTGGTTAGGAAAAGACGACACATTATGAGGTCGTCGATCTTGAGCAGACTAACCAATGACTCGAATGACACTACGTGGTCAAGCGGGTCGTTCCTCCCTTTGTAAGAATCCAGGCGAGAAATTCTTAGCTTTGGCGGGGGTATCGCCGCTTTGATTTGGAGAGCAAAATCTCCCCCTGCGAGCGGCCGGACAGACACACGTATCCGCTTTTCCTATCATCTATTCGCTTGTGCAGACGCGGCCATGTCATTGTGTTGGGGCTCGTCTTGTCCCTCTGTCCACTAGTTTCTGACCTGTATGTCTGGAATAGGCGAGTTCCTCGGTGGGGCCCTTTGAGGACTGAACCCCTTAGATACCGTTTCCAGACGACATAGATTCTCATGCTTGGTGTTGAGATTCGTATTCTCTGCCATCCTTTCTCATTCTTATTCCTCAGTGGAATAAGCTCTTTCCCCGGAAGGAAGCTTCGTATTCTCTGTCATCCGTTCTCTTTGAGATTCGTGTTGGTAATTCTGGTGTATAGAAACACCTTAATTTAATAAATACAAGAAAATAATTACTCGTTTGAAGCCCGAATGCCTTTCTCTTTC